AGGCTGAAGTTCTCCAGCTGCTTTCAAAGGGAGCTGGCTCTAAATGTTTGACTCCTGCAAACGCTTCATTGTGGCCTTTGTGCCTCAGTTTCCCATTTGGTAAATGGAGATAATTCTTCCCTACTTCATAGGGGGTGAAATACCAGAAAAAAACAGCAGCGGGGGCCCCAGGGATGTACAGGCGTGCTGTGAGTTCATCTGTACATGTTCTGGTACGTCTACCACCACAACAGCTTCATACGACTTGAACCGCTACTGGGAATAAAGCTCTGCATGCTTTATTCACAGATCAGAGGCTTTATTAGAGATATTTAGGTGGTTTCCTTTTAAAGAGCGTAACCAGATCTTTGTTGCAACTCTTTTCAGAGAAAGCTTGCACTGCGTGCTTATCGTGGCAGGTCTATTTCTGTCAAGAGTAAGGCAGCAGGTGAGCGCTTTCTGCTGAAAATACCTTGTCCCAAACTGTGGCCAGGGCTGGTGGCCTCACTGTGTCTCCGAAACAAAACTGCTGTACGTGCAGAGCAAAAAGGGACTGACCCAAAGCCAGGATATCATCCGCTCGGGGCCCAGAGTGTGAATCTCTTCCCTGGAGACCGCCTGACAGTGTTCATGCTCTTCTAGTTCAGGTCTGTGGTCAACGGGAGTAATTTTGTATGGTAGAACATATAATTAAAAAAGAGAATCATTTACAAGGGGTGGTTTTGCCCAGTACATGAATCCAAGTCCTTAAGCAATATTGCCTGCATTCAGGTAAAGGAAGTTTCTGATACTATTGTAATATATATTTTAATCTTGGACCGCTGCAAGGTTTCGTTTGGCAAGGTGAAACATTTGTTTTAACATGGTTTGTAAATTAATGACATATTTAACTATGTACATAGGTCTGTAGAAAGTGTGGAAACACTGGAATAAAAAGGGCGTATCTAGACAATCGTGTATAACGACGCTGTTATTAAATCAGAGGGAAGGGGGGTGGTTTGGGTTTTTCCTTGCAGGAAGCTTTGGGACTGTCACACAGTAGTAATAACGGCCACTTGCGAGAAATCAGATTAATGTTCTGCTGTATGGGTGTGATACCTTACTGGATGTTTACATAGACTGAACCTACGATGACTGGGGTGCTGTGACTAGTGTCAGGATACTAGTCGCTGGTATCCGCAGGAATGTTTTGATTTCCATTGTGCATTTCTAACGTACATGTAAATACATCACAAAATTGGGAAATTCTTCCCAAAACAGTCCTGGATAGTTCTAGAAATACCAGTGTGAAAGAAACCAATCTCTCCCCACTATGTGTGGGTTTTCTGTTGATAGCTCTGTAGAGTCTTTGGTGCTCTTGGAAGATCTCTTGACAATATTTCCCTGGCAGGTTCCATTTTAGTACCCAGTAGTGATTAGAGCATCTTTGTCATCTGGTAAAATGCTTGTGTTTTTTTAAATACCTGAATGCTAAATAAAATTGAGGCAATACTTAAGTTTTGTAGGTGTGCAGTGATTTGTAAAAGTAGTGGTGGTAATTTGGGGTCAGCTCATGATGATGCCTGAAGCTCGAGACCTTTTCTTTCTGATGTGTGTTCAAACCCACATTTTTCTGATGTAGCATTTTGCAGCAGCAGAGACTTCTGCCGTGTAGCTGTTTGTGGAAAAGGTGCAATACAAATAAAGGGAAGATTTTGGTTTTCTAAGGCTTCCATTTCTGAATCATGTTGTAAGCTGTTAAAAATAATTCTGGAATATCTTTGTGGTGATGGTACAGGCTGGTAAAACAAATCTGTCAATCCCCAGCTGACAGGTGTACGGTACAATCACACTCTGTAGATGCGCAAGTGAGAGTATGTCGGTGGCAGTCACCACCCATTTTTTTCTTTTTTTTTCCCATTGGTACTCTATAACTTGATGTGAATATGGGTGGTTTTACCAGAAATAACCCCGCACTCCTTACTGTATGAAATCTGGCGCTTAAGCAAATGAATGCTTTTGTATTGTTTTCCTGTTCTTATTTCAACCCTGTCGTTCTGTGAAGTTGTGGATGTGACTCGGCCGGATTGCCCGCGACGCGTCCCTCCAACCTGCCGATGCCGCAGCTGAAGCAGGGATCCCTCGTGGGATGACGGGAAGAACGAGGGATGATGGGAAGAAACCACAGCGGTGACTTCCAGGTGCTGGGACTCTTTCCTGTCTGAAATAAATCCGGTGTTTGGATTGTTTTTGGCAGACATCTGTGTCAGGTAACTGCAGCTTTTCGGGCACTTTGTGGGTAAACCATTGGTGTGTGCTGAGGAACGCAGCAGCCTGGACGGCAACTGCGTGGCCTCCAGCGTGTAGAGCAGTAACGGTTTTGTGGGGATGGAAGGCGGCAGCA